TTAATTTTTGGATCCCATGGCCCTAACTAAAGTGAATTCGAAATGGGTATTTAGGCATTGTGATAAAAGAGAAGTTTGCTTTTATTTTAGCGGAGGAAGTATGGAGGAAAAATTCGCAGAAAAAATCTTTCAATAATTTTATTGAATGAATTAGAAAAGTGTACCTGCCACGTAATCAAGATTCTGAAGAAGATTAGGTAAGTTAGTATTTTTAATTATTTGAGGATATTATTTTTATGCATTGTTCTAAATGTAAGGTGGAAAGGAATTTGGTATTATTGAGAAAATTGTTATTAGCAATGATTTAGTTTAAAGTAATTAGGATTGTAAGGTAATTTTTATTAATTTAATGTATGTGCTCATTTATATTTTAAGTAGTGTTTTTGAATTTAATTATATTTTAATGAAATGATAGTTATTTTGTGAATTTTATGTTTGTAGGAATTTGGTATACGTTTTAGTTGAACTAAACGTGCATGGAAATAATTTAAATATCTGACACTAAGTATTTGTAACGGTTGCGGTATGAATTCGTTGGTGACGTTTATAATATAATAGATGATTTAGAGGTAAAAGTTTTTGGATATTTTATTTATTTTATATGTGGAAATGTTCATATTTGGAAAGGGTAAATACTTTTTCACGATCATGTAATTTCATATATGTTCTTTTTACCGGGTTTAAAGATTGAGAAAATTGTCATGTATTTTCGTGAAATTTTTCGAATTTATGAGAAAAAGCAGTGTACATGGATATAGTGAAGAGTGTGCGCAATGCCATTTTTGTGCAATTCTGGGATGTTTTTTTAAGTAAAAATAAGTCGACGTGTACATGGTTTAGTGATATTTTAATTAAATGATAGTTATTTTGTGAATTTTATGTTTGTAGGAATTTGGTATACGTTTCAGTCGAAGTAAACGTGCATGGAAATAATTTAAATATTTGATACTAAGTATTTGTAATGCTTGCGGTATGAATTCGTTGGTGACGTGTATAATGTAATAGATGATTTAGAGGTAAAAGTTTTTGGATATTTTATTTATTTTATATGTGGAAATGTTCATATTTGGAAAGGGTAAATACTTTTTCGCGATCAGGTAATTTCATATATGTTTCTTTTTACCGGGTTTAAAGATTGAGAAAATTGTCATGTATTTTCGTGAAATTTTTCTAATTTATGAGAAAAAAGCAGTGTACATGGATATAGTGAAGAGTGTGCGCAATGCCATTTTTGTGCAATTCTGGGATGTTTTTTTAAGTAAAAATAAGTCGGCGTGTACATGGTTTATGTGTATGTGTTATTTTGAAAAACGCGCGTAAGGAGAATGGTATTGTGCACTTTTTCCCAATTTTGCAGTGAATATTTGTCATGATTAAGGAGTTTTGTTTGATAAAATTTCTAGCATAAGTGTAATTCGGGTAGTAGATTGTTGGAAGAAGTGTTCAGTAGATAAAAAGAAAAGAAACATGTCTTTACTTCATGAAGACAAAATGGCGGCAGGGAAAAAAAATAGAGGGTTGCTGTAGGAGAGTTGGTTGCCAAATTTTCGCCAAAAAATCGCCAAGTTACCATAATGTAAAGATCAACCAAAAATGTTTTACTCCCTAAAGTGTTGCCATTGCTCGCTTTAAAATTGTTGGGATTCTTAATCAAAAACTCATAAATGCTTTACAAAATATGCTATAGATAATAAAACAAATTCCAAATTTGGCTTCCAGATGCTCATATTCGAGTGGAGGACTACGTTATTCAAAATTTTATGTCTCTAGGTACCGTTTTATTACAATGCGAGAAACATACATACATTTATGCATATTCTTCATTATTTAATTTCTTTAAATATAATACAGGGCTCTAATATTTGGTGTCAACAATTTGAAAAGTGATTCGCCATTTATAATGAATAAACGCAAAATGCCAAAAGGAAATTAATAGTCCTTCTGAACAAATTGAACCTTTGGGCCTTTCAGATTTTATTTTTAAATACTGTAAATTTTTTGATGGGCCCCCAAGAAAATATTTTGCATAGGTTCCCAAGGGTAAAAGTATAGTTTAGGGTGCCCCTTCACGATTTTTGGTGGTACATGGATACCGATTTTATGCAATTCTTTGACTTGTTATTTTGGCTTGCGACGCAACACAAAGCCAAAATAACAAGACAAACAATTTCACAAAGTCTGTATCCATGTACACATCGACTTATTTTCACTTAAAAAAAAATCCCCGAATTGCACAAAAATGGCATTGCACACTCCTTTGACTTTATCCATGTACATGTCGACATAGTTTCACTTAAAAAAAATCCCAGAATTGCACAAACTTGCATTGCGCAGAATCTTTACTTTGTCCATGTACCACATCGAATATATTTTCACTTAAAAAGGTCAAAGGAGCACCCAGTTCTACAATACAGGCAAACAGAAAAATACATAATCTCAATAAATACATTTTAAACCAAACAATAAAATAACATAAAAAAGGAAAAACATGTTATAAATTTAAGCACTACAAAAAGCAAATATTCACTTACCATGATTTTCGAGTTCGCTTCGTACACCCACAGCCACGTAAAAAATTCAAAATCAAAATCATACTCAAATAACTTTTTTCAAACCAGGTACTCTGAACTGGTGAATCCGCTTCATATCGTGACCATCTGAACTTTTCTTCCTACAAACCCATTCAAATGCTATCTAAAAGGTTTTTACGTTCGACTAGACGCATATCCTTCCTACATACAGGACAATTATAATGAGAGCGTTGAAATTATAATTGTTAATTATAATTGTCTTGTATATACATACAGGACAATTATAATGGCTACTAAGTAAACCTTCATTTACACACCAGTCAATTAAAGCTTGTTTCCCCTTTCGCTCCAAATCGTACAAAAACTTTAAATTAATCTTACTATATTCGGCCATTCTACCGTCTAAAGAATCAAACCACACACCACAAAAACGCTTACAAAACATCGCATGATTCAAAAATTCCCAGAATCATGCACCCGATTACGTCACAATAGGGTTTCCATAACATTCAACTACTCAGGCTACCATAAATAAAACAACAACTTCGCCATAATACAAGGGGTACCTTAAAGTCTACTCTACCCATTCCCAAGAGTTCTAGTTACGCCACTGGTGAAAATAGGTCAATGTGTACATGGATACCGAATCCATATACCCATGTGCCACCATAAATCGCCAAAGGGTACCCGTAAATATACTTTTACCACATTTACAGCTCAGGATTGCTTTCAGTAGTAGAATAGTTCAAACAGAAAAAAGTCTAACAAATTAATTGTTATATTAATACACGGTAAAATCGAACAAATGATTTAGTGTACTTTATTGTTGTATGTTACACTGGTTTAAAAAAAAAATGAATTTTGCTGCATTTAAAATCAAATACACCAGCTAAAATAGAAAGTACAAGATAAAACACGCAAAGAAAATAATAATAATAAATTCTCACCAGTGCAATACAGATTCCACCCTTTGAAAGGTTGTAAGGCAGCTAATGACGAAACGTTGATTATAAGTTTTCTTTCAGTTAATTCGAAAACTTTAAGAAAAGCTGATGTGAGGAACATTACGGAATGTAAGTTAAGATCAAAGTAAGCTTTGATTTCAGATGCTGATGTAGAGTTCATTATGGTTTTGGATATATCACCTAATGTACCAGCGTTGTGAATTAAAAGTGCTTGTCGATACGAGGAACCTGTTTGTTGTACATGTTTTGTAAGAAGATGCTCATAACTGGGGCTATCTGGCAATGCTAAATCGATAGCCACTATCTCACACTTCACTGTACTACATTTAGATATCATCTCTTGAGTCATAATTAGTTTTGTTTTATCCCGGGCAAGTAATAAAGCACTACTACCTTCGCAAAGTTTTTTACAGAATTCAATAGCTATGGTCAAACCAAGACCACGACTAGCACCAGTTACAATTAAAAATGTAGGTATTTGCCAATTAATTGCAGAATGCATATATTCACTCATTTTCAGAAGTAGCGGTAAATACTTGGATGATAAATGTTAAATTTCGAAGCAAAAATGTTAAAAAAATATCTAAAGTTGAGAGAATCGGGTACTTCTGCTACGACAGTGATATAAATAAAATATGGAAATTATTTAAAGATATCACTTGAACGTTACCGTTCCCTAAACTGTCTCTCCATTCGTAGATATAAAACATACACAAGGCTTGATTAAGAAATTCTGAAACTCTAGGCATGATATTCTTTCAGTGATCTCAGTGTCCTTTTCCCGTGTTTTAACGTCGGAAAACCAGTTCTGTGACGAACTATACGATGATGAATTGTGGTCCCTTAAGATATGAAATTTAAAACTTGGATCTGAGGACTTAGGCTGTGGTTCTAACCCGGCTTCATAGAAATTCTCATCAGTTTTGGCGTAATTAAATATACATAATGTATCAGTAAATCAGGCCAATATATATAAATCAAATATATATAATGAATTATCATTTGAAATTGATTTTTGATATATTAAAGAAAATATACTCTTTTGTCTCTCTGATTTATCTTGATTTTTCCTTATTGTTAGTCATTATTTAAAATTATGTACTTTTGTTTTTAAACTGATCGATTGTGACTAACGTGCATCGAAATCGAGTGTTCGTTGTTGGGTGTCGGAAAATTTATGATGGTACTAAGTATACTAAAATGAATATAGTTTGTATGTTTAATTTTCTAAATATTTGCAGATTCATTTTTGAAGTAAGAGAGAAAAGTTTTTTTTAATTATGAATGAAATTTTAGATTAATGGGTTAGAATATTTCACAAAATATGAGTAAAATTTCTCGTTCATGGCGTCGCCCGATGACTCACCAGTTGTCAGCACATTTCTCGTTTCAGATCCGACTTGTCTATATGTTGCTGTAAAAACTGCAGTAATTAAATGCGCAAAGTGTATTCCAAATAATGATTTATTATGATGGTATACTTCGTATTTAAATCATATACATAATTAATGGTAGAACGTTAACTTCAGTTCAATTTGCTTAAGTAAATTTGAAATTTATTGGGAAAAAATTAACGCAGTTTATATAACTAAGTGTAATTGATAATACGTTGAGTAAGTAATAGTATTTTCAACAGTTTATTGTATTAGTACAACTGCAGAATAAATATTTTTTTCTTTAACTTCAAAGTTTTCGTATTTTAACATCAGATGTTATCAAATGTTAATTTTTCTTGAAAATATTACAACTGTTTTAATGGAAATTTCTGATTAGTATCTTTTTATTTTTATAAAATAGTATGCACTGCTTTTATATTAGTTTGTGAAATCTCTTTAAATTTTTTACAGTAGAAATATTATTAAAATTATCATCCGGAATAAATGTAGAAAACTCTTTGATGGATTTATAAATAGACTTCAGTTATGTTCTACATTAAATTTTTTGAAAGATCTGTTCTTTTCATGAATTTTTATCTGATAATCTGTTTATTTTTAATTTAGGGGCAGGGAAATAAGGCTTATTTGAAGCAGAAGTTTCAATACTGAATAGAAAGTTTTTGCTTAGTAACATCTATTACATTGAACTGAGTACTGGAACTGTAGTTGTGAAAATTTATATATTAGAATTCAGTAGAGGCATTTTCATGATTTTACCCAGGTGTAACGTGTATACAAGCCTGTTTCCCGTTGAATGCCCTTTCCCCCTAGGCAGATAGCCCTTCAATCTTTGCCATAATCACATAAATCAAACTTAAATAATACTAAATTAATTTTTAAAGAATTTGAACTTTTTTAAAAATTGAAATAGATTGGGTGCAAAGTAGCATTACCCTTTTAATGGATATTGGCTTATAGTAAAATAAGTCCATAATACATGAAAGTAAATATGATGATAGTAATTTGTTACTTTGGAATATGAATTATTTAAAATGTATTAGAGTTTAATAAATCTGTATTAAATAGTATCTGATCATACTTTTGTTAATTTAAGGAATAACATTCTAAATATGTTATAAAACCTGTAAGCTTTGTACAATTACACTCAAATTAATGTCCTAAAAATTTAGATGCTAAAGCTGAAAAAAAACATTTTAGTGTCATGATAACCATATGACTGGATGAACTGAAGTTGAAATATGTAGTTTTCAGGCATATTTTCTTGAATTTTACTGTATATCATATAAATTTGATCCAGTGAAGGGATGGCTTTTGTAGAGACATTATTGGGAAATTTTTAACTTCTATAGTTTATGAGAATTGTAATCTCAAACCTCTTACCAGTCTGATTATGTGGCGTGGACCTTCAGATTGCAGCTTTGTTGTGAATGTACATGAATTTTCTTTTCATGTCGATTGCCACATGCTCCACTCTCATTACTCGGAAAAAAAATACTGGCATAAGGGCATTATTGCAGTTGCAGGTGCATTACTTTGAAAGGGAATATAATAAAGTTTGATAATGAATCTTGAATGATCTTGTGTTTTATGTAATTGTTCTTGATATATTTTGATTACAATGGTATGGTGTTACTTTTGTTAATTTAAGGAATAACATTCTAAATATGTTATAAAACCTGTGTCATGATAACCATATCACTGGATGAACTGAGGTTGAAATATGTAGTTTGCGGGCATATTTTCTTGAATTTTACTGTATATCATATAAATTTGATCTTTTGTAAAGATATTGTTTGGAAATTATTAACTTCCATAGTGTATGAGAGTGTAATCTCAAACCACTTACCAGCCTGATTATGTGGCATGGACCTTTAGATTGCAACTTTGTTGTTGAATGTACATGAATTTTCTTCTTTTCATGTCGATTGCCACATGCTCCATTATCATCACTCAGAAAAAAAGAAAAAAAAAAAAAAAAAAAATATATATATTGGCATAAGGTTGCATAGTTGCAAGTGCATTACTTTGAAGGGGAATATAATCAAGTTTAGTAATGAATTAAAATCTTGTGTTTTATGTAATCGTTCTTAATACATTGTGATCACAATGGTTTGATGTATGTATTAAAAAAAACACTGCATTCTCAGTAAAGGTTGCAAAACATATGTTTTGCTATTTTTATGGCTTGTAGATAGTGTTCTGTTCATAAATAATGACAAAAGGAAGCTAATTAAAGGGAAAAAAATTTATGTAGTCAATATGTACATTTTTACAGCCGATGGATACTGTTTGGCAAAATGACCATTAAATACAGAGCATGTAAAATCACATGTACTTAAACACATAGATGATATATGCATTCATGTATTATTTATTATCTTATGTTTACTTAAAAATATATCAGAAATAGGCAATTAAAAGTAAGCTCATTAATTAATGTTATAGCAATATTAAAATTCTACAACTAGTATACATACATATATGCAAGATAAAAAGTATGTAAATCAAAACCCCATAATTCTTTCTCTCTATTCTAAAAAGTCTTAACCTTTTTAGACTGCATCATTTCTAGATCAGTCCATCTTGCATGGCTTGCATAATGCTGATGACATAGCTAACTCGGTATCTGAACTCAAAATTTTGAGAACTGAAACCTTTCTAATCTAAATCAAAATCTTCTCTTGGTAAGCTTCCATATTGGATAATTGTGCACTTTTAGCTTCAGCTGTCCTGCAATCAAGATGCTACTGCACACCGTTTGCTTTGTTGTGCTACTAATACTATGCCATTATCTAAATTGTGATTCTCTCTATATAAAATTTTGGGGTGCATATTGCACCCATGATCATGTGTGAATGAAAGAGATGTTTTTGATAATTAGTTCATATCCACCAGTTATATTCAATTTGGCCATGTCTGTCTACAAGTCTTCCCTTCGAATGTTGTCTTTCTAATGAAGCACTAAAGTCTGCCTAGAATATAATGTAGAGAGCCATCATCAGTCTGTTGCACCTTACTCCAATTCATCTTACACATATATATTTTATATATGATCTTGTAGTTTTTTCAAAAAATTAAATTAAGTCACTGTTTAGCCACAGCCGTTATAGGTGACGACTAGGGAAAATAAATCATAGCTTTATCTTAGATGAAGAAAGAGGGTGGTGAAGCGAGAGACGTGGTTTATTCAAGCAGCAGCCAGGTGAGAAAAAGCAATGCATATTCATTTTGTCCTTTTTGTAGCCGGAAAGTCATTCTATCAGTCCTGAGCAGTGATTGGGGTAAAGATGTTACAGTGCAAAAAGATTGCATGGAAAGAGAAGACGAAACATGTGGCAACATGATGCAAAATGATTCAAATGATAGCACAGGAGTATTTAAAAATCAAGCAGAAATCCCAATGAGATGCAGTTTCTTGGGGGGGGGGAGAGATATAGACTCCTTTTTTTCCATCTTGTAGGATATTTCCAGTGAGAATTGGGACAGGATTGGGCGAAGTTGTTTTGTCATCACAAAGTGCCTAAGTTTTAGTTTAATCTTGTATTATTCACATAGTCACTTCTAAGATCACATACCTAGATATGGGAATAAACAAAATAGTAGCAGTACTATGAGAACATGGCTAAAGATGCTTCACTGAGAAAAAATATTCATAAATCTTTGATAATTGCAGTTTTATTTTTAGGCAATAAGTAAAAACTGTTAGATTAAAGTTTTAAGGTATTAGTCAATTGGATTTTCGTATATTATTCAGAAGTTTATATATTTCAGTTATAGTTTGTGCTTTTTTTTTAATAAAGCAGTTGATATATTTTATTTTTCCTTTAATTTCCTAACTATGTATAGTATATTTTCTCTTTTCCCTGTAGGGAACTAATGGCTGATCGTCTTACACAGTTACAAGATGCTGTAAATGCGCAAGCAGAAAACATCTGCAATAGTATTGGTGTTCTCCAAGCATCAGCACTCCCAAGTAGCTTTCCCGACTTTGAAAAATCACCAGTTAAGTCAGAACAACACAAGGAAGACTATTGTCAAACATTTGCAACTTTAATAGCAAATACAGCAAAAGAAATAGATCTTTTAATTGACTTTTTGCCAAGTGAAGATATATCTCAGGAATCGCAAGAAGATTTCAAGCGATTAGATAAAGAAAATAAAGATGCAGCTGTGAGGTTAGAAAAAGTTGTTGGTGCTGGTGAAGTTTTGTTAGAACAAATTCGCAAAGCTTTGCACGAGATTGCCCAATCGCAGCTAGAAATACAGCAACTAAGCTCTGTAAAAACTGATATTTAACCTTTTTCACAAATAATTAATTTCTTGTATAATATTAATAATGGAAGCATATGACGTAATTATTAATCAACCTGTTGTTATCGACAATGGATCTGGTGTCATTAAAGCAGGTTTTGCTGGTGATCAAGTTCCAAAATGTCATTTCCCAAATTACATAGGTCGCCCTAAACATGTAAGAGTTATGGCTGGTGCCTTAGAAGGGGATGTATTTGTAGGGCCAAAAGCTGAAGAACATAGGGGATTACTTACTATACGATATCCTATGGAGCATGGCATTGTTACAGATTGGAATGACATGGAAAGAATTTGGCAGTATATTTATTCCAAAGAGCAACTTCAGACTTATCCAGAGGAGCATCCTGTGTTATTGACAGAAGCTCCGCTTAATCCTCGGAGAAACAGAGAAAAAGCAGCTGAAATATTTTTTGAAACCTTAAATGTGCCAGCTTTATTTATTTCAATGCAGGCTGTTTTAAGCTTATATGCTACTGGTCGTACAACAGGCGTGGTATTAGACTCTGGCGACGGGGTTACTCATGCAGTTCCAATATATGAAGGATTTGCTATGCCTAATAGCATAATGAGAGTTGATATTGCTGGTCGGGATGTTACACGCCACTTGCGCACATTGCTGAGGAAAGAAGGGTGGAATTTTCGAACAACAGCTGAGTTTGAAATTGTGAAAACCATAAAAGAGCGAGCTTGTTATCTTGCCAGTAATCCACAACGGGAAGAAACTATGGAAACTGAGAAAGCCCAATATACACTTCCTGATGGCAGCACGTTGGAAATTGGCCCTGCAAGATTTAGAGCTCCAGAAATTCTTTTTAGACCTGATCATATTGGAGAAGAAGATGAAGGATTACATGAAGTTTTAGTTTATGCAATACACAAGTCTGATTTAGATTTAAGAAGAGTGTTGTATCAAAACATAGTTCTTTCTGGTGGCTCTACTTTATTTAAAGGTTTTGGTGATCGGCTTTTAAGTGAAGTTAAGAAAATAGGACCAAAGGATATTAAAATTAGAATATCAGCCCCACAAGAAAGATTGTATTCAACTTGGATTGGAGGCTCCATCTTAGCTTCTTTGGATACATTTAAAAAAATGTGGGTGTCAAAGAAAGAATATGATGAAGAAAATGCACGAGCGATACATAGAAAAACATTCTAGAAAAACTTGCTTTTGCTAACTTAACACATCTGTTTAATATGTTTGTGATCATAATTTTTATATTTTTAAAATTATTTGTGGTATTAGAAACATAATAATGCTTAGTACACTTTTTTTCAATATAAGAAACCTTTTTGTAATTGGTTTAAACGTTGTAAAAGGTAAATAGTGGAATACATTTTTGACATATTCTTTGGGAAAATTTATCAAACTATCCATAAATTTTTTTATATTTTGTGCTATAGCAAAATACTTACCGAAGAATTATAATGCAAATAAAAAAAATGCTGTCTTTACTGTGTGTTGAGAATTATTTTTCAAAAAGTTTTTACCATCATAAGTAGCTTAAAATTTTTGCATTTTGACTGCTTAAATTTTGTGTCTAATTATATCTGAATTAAAGAATTCGTAGACCAAGAATATAATTGCTTTTGTAAACACAAAACAACAAAAAAAATTGGTTACTCCTTCATGAATTTTATTCTATAATTCTGTTTAAAAAGATATATCTCCCTTTAACACTTTTACTTACAAATTTTAGTTTCCTTGTGGGGCATTTTATTAATGTTAAAAGATCTGCAAAATTATTATTTGCATTGTACATAAAACAGCTTTGAAAATCAGACTACATTTGTCTTTCCTTTGTCATCGTCTCCCCCATTATATGTGTATGCATATGTGAAGTTTGGTATAACTTTATGGGGTAAACAAGGATGAGCCTCTCGAACACGCATGTTCAGTTATCTAAATATAAAAATATTTTCTTTGTCTTTAGATATTTTAGTTTGGTAAAAGATGAATTTCCATTTTTTATATCAGTCCAATAAAAACAAGTTAATGTATAATATCTATATGTAAGAGTTTGAGAATTAGATAATTAATACATTTTAGTAATAATACAATATATTTGTTTCAATGTGTCATTAACACACTCAAGTTTTGATGAAAATATATTTTATGAAATGTGTTTTTTATTCTGCATTAAATAAGAAAATTAATTAGTTATCACCAAACTCTTCACCTAAAATGTACAATACCTGAATTTGAACACCTTTCAGTTTCAAGTGGAGTCACTACAATCAAGTCTTTAATACGGACCTCAAAGCTACAAATTTTCTGCGCATGCATCAACGCATAATGCATTAACGCTTGCGCGTTTAAGGTATAACGGACGGTATAAGCTAAGCTAAAATTAACTATTTCAGTTAATGTTGCAGATTCCGTTGTTCCTTAATCTTCTAATTGAATCAGGCTTATTATTTTTTGCAGACTGTTAGAGCATTTTTATAAAAATAAGCTTGAACTTTCGATTATGTGAAAAAGAATTTCCGATTCTGGAGCTGCCAAAGGAACCACAAAGCGAAAGCATGTTTCGATGTACATCAAACAAAAACTGGAATTGCTGCAAAAAATGGATAAAGGCATATATTTTGCTTCTCTAACCATTCCAAAATCAGTTTATCAATTTGACGCTGCTCTGCTGGGGGGGACGTCACGGCGGCGCGCAATGAACTGGAAGTAGATCTGTCAGCACAATCCTTATCTTCAGGGCAGATGTTTTTATTTTATTCGGCTTATAATTCCTCACTAAATGTAGTACTTCATATCGATGTACTCCATCTTTGATATGATTTAAATCAAATTCCTCGTCATTATAAATATCACGAATACAGGTCAAATAGTTTTCTGGTTGCAATTTTCTAATTTCGACTATGGTAATGTATGCTTTATGCATGTGCGATTGAAAGGAATGTTTATAAGTAAACAATAATATAAGTTTTTTTTTTTTTTTTTTTTTTTTTTTTTGTAAATTTTGATATTCTTTAGATCATAATTGCTCTTTATTTCATTAATTGCGGTTTCATATTTTTAATTTTATAATTTCTGCATGCCATCTTACCAGATTTAAACTGATGATCTATAATCCGGAATCGCCAAAGTTCCGACGAGTCTGGATTAAAGACTTTTGACTGTATATGAAATGGTTATGTTTAGTACTTAAAAGTAAACATGAAAACCTTGATTTTTCAAAGAAATTAATATATTTGTAAAGCCGAATTCACTTTTATAAAACCAAGACTTCATCTGCCAAAAAATTAATAAACATTTGATGCTATAGGATTCCTTGCCAGTGTGGTTTAATTTACATTGGCCAAACTAAGAGAGCCTTAAAATTTCGTGTCAAGGAACATGAGGCATATGTTAGAAGAAAGGAAACAAAGTCTTCTGTTGCTCACATTGTGTCCGAAAATCACACTTTCAATTTTCTGCTGCCAAATTATTCAAAAACATCTTCCATTGGAGAACTGGATTTTCTAGAGGCATTCACATTCAAAAACTTTGTTCTAGTTAACCGATCCTAATTCCAATCCAACTTTGCCTTCGGCCTTTAAAGAAATTATGTTTTAGTTCTGGTTTCCTCAGTAGATGGTGCCACTTTCTTATTCTTGTTTAGGCTTTCTTATCTTATCTAATCGTTATATCCTATCTTGTTCATTTGCGGTTTTGCAGCCGAGGATGGTGGTTCAGTAAAACCATCAAAACTAATCCTGTGAAAATATAATCGCTGATTTTTGTTGTTTGACTTCTGAATTAGTATTTGATGCTAGATAAGATGAGCTAAGGTACTTTTGATAAAACTGAACCACAATTTCAAGGTAAAAATTTTAGAATTCTTAACATTTTATTTTAACAATAAGCAATTTTATAAAAGTAAGCTTGAACTTTCGATTATGTCAAATAGAATTTCAAAGGATCTACAAAGCGAAAGTATGTTTCGATGTCCATCAAACAAAAAGTGAAATTGCTGCAAAAAAATGAATAAAGGCATATTCTTTGTTTCTCTAACCATTCCCAAACCTGTTTATCAATTTCACGCTGCTCTGCGGGGGGTTGGGGAACGTAGTGGAACGCAACGAATTGGAAGTTGATCTGTCAGCACTATCCTTATCTTCAGGGCAGATGTTTTTTCATTATAATTCGCTTCCGATAGTGAAGAAAGTGACACAGAGGTTATTGAAAACGAAAAAATTTCGATTGACAAATTAGTCGGTATTCTCGACACAAGCAATTATAGGACTTGAACAGCAAAACTTTGTAACTGAAACAAGAAATTATTTATGTCTGTTTATAGAAATAAAGAAAAGTTTATCATATAAAACGAAGCAACTTAACAACTTAGATGAAAGAAATGTTTAATAAAGTAAACAAATAAATTAAGCCTTTTTTTTTTTTTTTTTTTTGTAATTTTGATACCCTTTAGATCATAATTACTCTTTAGTTCATAAATTACGGTTTCATGTTTTTAATTTTATAATTTCCGATGAGTCCGTATTAACGACTTTTGACTGTACTTTATTTCAAGCCTTTCACAACAGTAAGAGCAACAAATTTCGGGGAAAGTGCAGAACTGCTTGGTGCGGTTATTAAAACTGCACATACTCGGTATCCGTGTACACGTCGACCTATTTTCACTTAAAAAAAATCCCAGAATTGCACAAAAATGGCATTGTGCACTTCTTTTACTTTATCTATGTACACATCGACCTATTTTCACTTAAAAAGTATAAATACTTTAATTCTTATACAGCGAAAAGTCATTAATCCGGACCTCAAAGCTAGAAACTTTCTGCTGGCCAAGGCCGTCTCAATCAGTCTATGCCATCTGGACCTAATCATGGCTATACTCCCCCAGTCTTCCCTTTGTATAGTATTGTCATTCTCAACAGCATCAAGCCACCATGTTAAACTGTGTAGTCAAATACTATAGAATTTAATTTTAATCTAAGCTGACTCAGTAACTCTATCGTAGTAACAAATTCAAGTGTCAGCAGCAATAACGCAAAGACGAATAATTACAAATTATCAGAGCTGGCAGGAACTATGCAGCGTGTAAGCACTGCATTAGTTCCTGCCAGAAACACACTGTCTTACAATCCTAAAACCTCAGTTTAAAAACTAAGTGGTATGCATTCTGGTGAGGGATTAGAAAGGCAAATATAGTAAAGGCTGAAATTATAAACAATCAATTAATTTTCATAATAATAACTGTACATATAAGAACAATTTTCTTTCTCTTTATGTATTCACTTTCTTTCTTCAAGATGTTTCTTCTTCATTTTAGAATTTTTGGATTTGATTAAAGATTTCTGTCATTCTAAAAAACTAAATGCGTTTTGTAAAGCTGCTAATTTTATTCCTTTAATAATATGAACATTCAAAATAAATATAAAATTACATATGGTGAGGGCCAGTTACAGTACTAGTGTATGAGAATTTTTAGAATTTAGTGACATACCAAGCTACAAAATCTAGAAACGGCAAAACTTTTAAAATTTAGGACAGGCACTGGGAGCAGAATTTTGGAAGGCACTAGGCAGCAGAAATCAGGATCCACAGAGATAGCATCAAGTGGGCAAATGCCTAGTGCCAGCGCTGTGTATAATGCAACGAGACATATGACTCTTCTAAATTGTCAGTTTTCAATTTCTTTATTAACTCTTTCACATCGAGGTCACCCCAAACGCCTGAGCATTCAGGCAGCGGCAGGTCGCCCGAACGCCTGAATAATTTCCTACCTATTCCTTTCCCCCATCACGTTGTTGCATTGCTCATTTTTTTTCACAAGTTGTTAAATGACATGTCAATCATTCTTTTCAAATGTCTAAAAGTAGTTTTGTTATTTTAATGCACCTTTTTCCTTTGTTTTCTGTCAATGTTTAACTATTGATGTCCGAAGTTACAATCCCAGCCCAAGGGGGAAATTCACACAGGGCAAAAGCATCCAAGAAAGAAGTTGTCACTTTACTTAAGTAGGTTATTGTTAGCGCTATAGTATTCAATTTATCATGGGGGAATAAAAAGCATTCCAACAGAAATTCGTATCACGGGCGTTTTCGATGTTTGAGGAAAAGAGATTTGGTCCTCTCTCGATGCGAAAGAGTTAACAGAAAAATTATTGTCTATAAATGCCTGCCCATGTGATAAGATTAGAAGCATTTTTTATATTTTGCATGCTTGTGTCCAGTGAAAAGCAAAGAAAATAAAGGGAAGAGAATCAGAAGTAAAACATTCAAATATTATGTCTTCATTGTTCTTCCAAAAATTCTCCAGAAGACATTTTTCTGGAATCTTGTAGGATCGTGAGTCTATAAATCTTGTCTTCAAATCCTTCTAAGCTTTCCAAGTTACAATATCTGTAATCCTAAAGAAAAATTACCCCTACCAATTCTTTAACAACAAAAAGTCAGAAATGTTTTTTTTTTTTTGGGGGGGGGGGAAGAAAAAAAAAAGAAAA